AGATTACTTCAAAAGATTCTAACTATCACTGTACTGAACACTAAAGTTAAGAGGCGTGAGTTCTTACTTTAAGTGCGCTGCCGCCATTGTAATGCTACAATAATTTACAAGAAGAATATTTAGTAAGAGAGTAAAAGAGAGAAAAAGATTTTGGGTAGCGTGGCCGTGATAGTTATTTACACTTATCGTACACTTATCGTATCTTATACGTCAATACACATCTATTACGTTCTTGAGGGCGACTTGTCAAACACTGCTTCGTTACAACTCTTTATTAATTACGAACATGACATGGACACATTAATAACACCTTCTATTGAAAGTTACTAGGACATTATTACGTTACTAGACACTGATTCTCGGACACGAACATGAAATGAATACACTTCCCACATAAGTAACTCATCCCGTGGAAAGCTCTGACAAACTCTCACGTGACCTAGGGGAGGCCTAGCAGGGAGACTACTTAGCTGGAACACTGGTGTCGGGAGGGCGACTGCTTAGCTGGGACACTGGAGTCGGGAGGGCGACTGCTTAGCTGGGACACTGGTGTCGGGAGGGCGACTGCTTAGCGGGGACACTGGTGTCGGGAGGGCGACTGCTTAGCTGGGACACCGGGGAGAAGTCGGGGAGGGAAGTCCTGCACGACTCTCCTCCCGTGAGCGGGACTCGGCTGTGGTGGACCTCCTCCTCCGATCCCTGTGTGTCTCTCTCTCTGACTCTCCGAATTCCCTGAGGGAGGACTAGGACGTCCTATATATTGGGATACGAGCCGTCAGGTTCAGCTGGTCGGGGGAGGGGGGGGCGGCGAAGGGTCTCCTTACATTTGACCTGGCCAATGTGAGGTCAGGTCTGGACTTTTCAGAAACTATCTGGGAAAGTCATCAGGTGGGGCCGTGTGTATATTGGGAGAGCAACCGTGAGAGTTCCCCTACACTTGACCTCCCTAATGTCGGGTCAGACTGGAGTTTCTGAGATGTAAGACGTACTTTCTGGAGAAGTCATCAGGTGGGGCCGTGTGACATGAGAGGCCCTGGTTGATTTGTGGCCCCTTGAGTTGGGCTCCGAGGGTTACATTTGACCTGGCTAATGTGAGGTCAGGTCCGGCCTTTGTTCAGAGAGTAGGTTATTGTATATTGGAAGAGAGTCGGCTGGTGCCTTCTTACATGTCTGTTGTGGTGACATGTCACATGGGAGGTGAGCTAGTTGATTTGTAACCCCCGGTCCACCGTGAGAGTTACACTTGACCCCCCTAATGTCGGGTCAAGACTGGCCCCCCTCTGCGGTGTAGGACATTGTGTATATTGGGAGAGAGCCGGCTGGTGCCCTCTTACATGTGTGACATGGGAGGGGGAGCTAGTTGATTTACAACATCCTTGAGCACCTGCGAGGGATACCCTTACACTTGACCTAGGGAAGGCCTAGAGTTTCTGAGATGTAAGCTGTGGTCTGACAACCCATCACTACAAGCTATATTTATTTATTTTGTCCCATGATATTGGCCTTCGATTTTTTAGATTGTCCCCAAGGGGGCTAGTTTATTGGGCACCCCTTTACATCTTGTGCAAGGTGAAGCGCAGAAGCGTTTACAGCACCCATCTGGGAGGCATGCGTAGTTCATGCTTGCCTTTATGACTCATGCATTAGGGGCGTAAAAGCCTGAAGGGTCATGGGTTTTGTCAGCAAGTTACATAAAGTGACAGAATGATGAGTGTGTGGGGGGAAAATTCGCGGTACAATTTATCTGTTTATGGCAAAGCGTGGCAGGTCCCTAATAATGTCAAGTGCCAGGCCTGTCACTAGGAAGAGGGATATCTGGTCAGGGAGGGAGGGAAGAGGTGTTGGTAATGGCTGGGGACCTGTAGGAGGTCATAGGGCAAGTGAGGATGTAGTGAGAGAGGGTGTGAGAGTCGGGTTGACCACAAAGTTTACAAACAGTGCGGCCAGGCTCAGGGTTGCCAATGTACTAGGCGTGGCGAAGTACAGTTGGGGTGGAGGTGATATGGTGTGGTGGGACAGGTACAGTAGGGGTGGAGGGAGGCACATAGGCATTGACAATATTGAGGGACATACCTTTTAGTGTGATTGTGATGGCGTGTGCGTCAGCATGCCGGTGGGGTACGGGTAGCCGGGGTGGTGTCCTCAGGTCCAATAAGTAGCCCTGGTGGAGACAGCACAGACACAGGAGCGGGTGCGGCTTGCGGTGGGTGGACAGGTTGAGGCACCAGTGTCGTGAAGATGAGGCAGGACTTCGCTCGGGGGCAGCAGGACACACCAGGGCAGGCCCGGTAGGCGCTACACCAGTAGTGAAGGCCGCCGGCGGTGGAGTAGGCCGTGAGCAGGGGGGCTCACAGGGGGACTACCAGCTTGTGTCAAACCAGAAGAGAGGAGTGACTGGGTGGCAACAGAGGGCAAGAGGAAGGTGTGACCCCAATGAGAACAGATAAGACAAACTAAATGCAGGCCCAGGATGATAGGGTTCTGCATAAAGTGAAGGGAGGATTGGGTGGGCCTCCACAGTGGTTGGGCATTCCCCTTCCTTTCCACTTGACATTGACAGCAGCTTGTGGAGTGTTTCCCCGGTAAAGTCGATGTATACTGAGTATACTAGAATTAAACTCACGAGCATCTTCGATGTCAGCGTATAGGGGGAATTGTTTCACTAGGATGTGGCAACATTCATCAGGGTTCAGGGGGCACCAGGACAACCCCGTCAAACCCAACAGTAATAAGTGTTTCAAAGACCTCAGGAGTCTGACACTTGATAAAGTTCCGGTTCCGACCTTGTCGGAATTGAATGTTGAGACCGTGTTGTCTGCAGTACTTCATCATCCAATTAAACCGTCAATCTACGGTTTTCAGTGAGTCCTTGGGGAAGTGCAAATTCAGCTTACTTGGCTGGTTGGCAGAGAGCAGGGTGATAGGGTCCATGGCATTGGTGTTTCCACTCCGGCTAGTGTTTCCCATAGAAACATTACCGTCACTGTCATAATCACTGGGGTATGACTCTTGAAGGGTGTTGGATTCAGTATGACCAGGCGAGTTGGCGATGGCATCCATATCAGAGATGTCTGCGTCCATGAGAGAGCCCCTTCTGGGACGTTTATGTCGACCCCCACCCCCCGTTTTGGCAAAAACTTGCCGGCTGAGGGGAGTCGGTTCTGAAGGGACCTTTGTGGGACGATCGGGAAGTCAAGAGCACCTATGGGCAGTGGGCATATCTGCCCCCTTATGTGGTCACGCCACGGCTACAAGTCACGTAAACACATTCAGAATCACTTGTATTCTCACCCCATGACCTGTTGGTTAAGGTGGGGATGGGGGAGGGGGGGGGGGTAACCTGGCGTGTGTGTGTGGATAAGCATGTGGATAGATCTCTTCCACTCAACAAAATATGGATTACGCTGTGGTTTATGTAGGTACAATGGTGGTATAGCCCTCAGGTAGACAGGCACATCTTGCTTGAGTTTGGATGACACGCTGGGTCCTGAATGTTGAAAATCAGGACACCAATGGCAGGGAGAGGCTTAATGTATGAACAAAATCAGTTGAAATATCTTGATTTTTATTATCATTATTACCTATTATTGTTATTATTATTATGAACTTTACTCTTATAATTGTTACTAATATCATTATTTTTATTACTAAGGTCATTAACATTATTAAAATTTTCATTATCATTATCGGTGTTATTGCTGTTGTCATACGCATATAATTAAAAATTTCCCCCGTGCACGGTAGAGTGACTGGATGTCTCAGAGATAGCTGTAAAACTTCTAACTTTTCTCTCTCGGTAAAGTAGGTAGAGAGAGTGAGACTTTGTGAGGCACGACCCAAAGTTTTCCCTCCTTCAGGCTCCTCCTTGACTCCTCTCTCTTCCTCCTTCTCTTCCCTCACCACCCTCCCTCCTCAGTACTCCCTCACTATCTCTCAATACTTTCTCCCTCATTCAATCTTTACCGATTCTCAGCACTCTTTCCATCCTTCTATCAACACCATATCTTAGTCCCCCCCTCACTCTTCCTACCTACTCTTTTTCCTCTTCACCCTCCTCCTTCCTTCACTTTACCCTCCTCCTCCCTTTCCTCTTTCCCCTCTTCCTTCTTTTCCTTTTCTCCCTCCCCCCTTCTCCTTTACCTCCCAACACCTCACATTCACATATCAGAAAAATGAATGGTAAAATCATTAGCATAATAGACCATAATTTTTTGCTGAAATGTGAAAATTATCCACTTATATCTGAGGCTAAACGTCCCATGAAATTTAGGAGAGTCTTATAGTGAGTTTCTTATCAGCGTTTAATGAAGATTTGAGTAGAATTAGTGGAAGGATTAGCCCCCCACAGCCTAAGGGGGGGGGGGGATGAGTTAGATAAGGTTATGTTATCGTAGGTTTGGGTTTGGTTGGGTTAGGTTACTTTAGTTATGTTAAGTTAGGTTAGCGTTAGAATAAATTATGTTAGATTTTGTTCGGTTATGTTGGCACATGACACAGTCTTCCCCTAAGTATGACGTTCCCCATCTACCGTTTGTGTTTACACAGAAAACTCAACCAGTTAACAGAGGTATAATAAACAGCTATCCAAACACAACAAGATATTTAAGCAATCCTGTTGGCGAATGGAAGAAAGGGAAAAGCAGGTAATTTCAAAGAGGTTAAGCAAACGTTGACTTCAAGCTCTTGGTGGTCCCTGGCTGAAGAAGGACACACGCTGCATAAGACGTGACAAAACTAAACCAAATGGACAGAACTGCTAAAAACCTGTAGCTAAACAAAGACTGACAACTGGTAAATTCATTTGAAGCAAAAAATAAAAAAAATATCACTGACGAAATTTGAGACAACTTCATTGTTTAAGCTCATTTATCAGATCCAAATTCGTGGTAATATAAAGGGTTAATTTTGAGATTCATCTAAGATAGGGAAGATATCAGCACATGTCCGTGTATCTCGACAGACGGCTTGAGGTGTTGTTGCAGGAGGGTGTGTGAGTAAGAGTGTGAGCAAGTGTCGTGTTGCTTTCTGTGGTAGTTTTTTACATTCTTAGAAAAACGATACTTTATTATGGATTATTTCACGTCAACTATAGTGTTTACAGAGTGACATAAGCATACCTATCAATAAGTGTAATATTCTCCTTTAAACGTTAGAGAAGGAGATTTAATGCCTGAAAAACAACAGGTGTTAATGTAAGGTCTTAATTAATAGTGATATGGATGTTCCCGGTGGCACAGCTCAATCTACCTCTAGTGTCTGTGAATGAACCCTCGTGGATCTTTTCTCTCACAATGTTAATAAGACGTGAATGGAGAAAGTAAGATAAGGTCTGATTTTAGTTGCGTTTTACTCTTAAATATTTCGTGATTTTTTCTGCATTTGTTCCTACTGTTGTTTACCTCATGATGCATCTGTTTTTCTGCTTATCATTGTGGTGGGATTAGTGTATTTAGTGTACGTGAGTGTGTGGTGTGTGTGTGTGTGTGTATGTTTATAATTGTTGTTTAAGTGTGTTTTAAGTGCTTTTCTGTCAAGGTTTTTAAGCACAACCGTGTCCTAAGTCTAAGTTTTTACGCAAGACAACTACCATGAAGATATAAGAGACATCCTTTTACTGTGTGTGTGTGTGTGTTTTACTATATACTCTACGGGCCTACATACCATTGCTTTACTTATGTTCACTCGTTGGTCAAGGTGTAAGGCGCCATACTGTACTACTAGTCAGTGTACAGAATTTGCTAGTGGACGTGAATGAATGTTTAGATAATTTTTAGACTCGTGATTTACAGGATAATTGTTTGGTGACGACTGTGGTAATGGAAAGACAATAATAAGTGAATAAGCAAACAAACAAAAATATATTAATGAAAGAACAACAAACTTTATCCTAACATTAACCCTAACATACATCCTAACATCACTATACAACACTACGATATAATGTTACCTGGTTCTTCTTCAGCTGAATAACTCTGTCTGGCCTATACTGTACTATAATAATAATAATAATAATAATAATAATAATTAACGGTTTATTGAAAGAGGTTGGCAGCCAGAAGGCTGAAAATGTACAGTTACATAATTGGGGAATGGGTTTCGAATTACAAATAATATACAAATAACATAAGTGATATAAATAAGATATATAATAACTAGATGGGGAAAAGCTCAAACTACAGGGCATTTCAACATAGTGACAGTGCAAGAAGTAGTATTTACTGGGAGTGAATACACTGGTTTATTACAAGTTATTGATAATTTTTACAATGGTTGGGACTGGGCTGTTCTTATAGCGATCAGTTCGTGCACGTATGGGCTGGATGCGGTTGTGGTGTCGAACAGCAATTCCGGGCGAGGGATCTCAGGTGGTAGTAGGAGCCGGTGTCGAGGATGGTGCAGAAGCTTCTTACCAAATTTGCAGATGAGGTCGTGGTGATGGTCAGTGAGAGTCGAAAGGGTCAGTGTGTTGAGCGCTTCTTGATATGTGGAGTAGGAAGGGGAGAGAATAATCTTGCATGCCCTCTTTTGCACTTTTTTCTAGGTGTTTACGTTGTGTGGCATTTAGGGAGGAAGACCAGGTGGGGGAGGCATAGGTGAGCTTGGGAAGTATGAATGTTGAGTAAACACTGAGGAGCTCGGGTGCAGGAACTCCGAGGGACTTGAGTCGGCGGAGGATGTGGAGACGGAAACTGGAGGATTTGACAACTTCACTGACGTGTGGTTTCCAATTTAGTTTGTTGTCTATGGTGACCCCGAGGAGCTTCGTGGAATCTACAACCTGGAGTGTGTTCGGACCAAAATTAATGGAAGGGGGTGGGACAATGTCGGAGGAGAGGTTGATGTGCATAACCATGGTCTTGGTATGGTTGATGGTGATGTGGTTGTTGGTGGTCCAGTTTTGGAGAGTGTTCAATAAATCCTGAAGGGCGGTATAGTCGGGAGCCGAATTGTTGACGCTTATCCCAATGGTGGAGTCGTCGACATATTTCCAGCGAGCGGGGGTTTCTCTTAGGGCATCATTGATAATCATAAGGAAGCAGAGTGGTCCCATCTTGGTGCCCTGGGGGACGCCACAGGTGAGTGACTGAAAGGTGGAGACAGCCCCTCGGAAGCGCACAGCTCGGCGTCGGCCACTGAGGAAGTCTGTAAGCCATGGTATAAGACTTCTCCGAAGCCCGAGGTCAATAGCTTTGTTGATGATTATATTGTGGTCGACTAGGTCGAATGCTTTAGTGAAATCAATGAAGGCGACAGCTACAGACGTTTTTCGTTTCTCGAGATGGCGGTATATGTAATCGAGAAAGCTGACAAGACAGTGAGTGGTGGAGGAGGTTTTCATATTGCCAAATTGCTGAGGGTCTACGACTTCTGCAATATCAGCATAAGCCCAGTCGAACACAAAACTTTCACAGATTAGGCTGGGTATTGGGGTGATTGCAATAGGTCGTAGCTGATTTAAGGATTGTGGGCTGGTTGACTTGGGCACTGGTGATACATAAGAGGTCTTCTAGTCAGCTGGGCATCTGGCTTGACTGAGAGAAGCATTGGTGATGGAGCATAGGGGTTTAGCAAGCTCCGGGGAGAACTCCTTGAAGAGTTTCATTGGTAAGTCAATGGGGGTGGTAGAGCGTTTTAATTTTAGTTTGTCCAGACGTTTTGCTACTTCAAATTCTTCTACTAAGTCAGTGGGAAGGGGGGCTGGTAGGTAAGCAGGGAGAGTGGTTGTGTCAAGCCGGGCGAGCGTCTGGCATATAGTAGCGAAATAGTTATTTGATTGCTCAGCTGCGTCAACATTAGTGAGATGGCTAAGGAAGGCGGAGGGGGTGTGTCTTATTGTTTAGTCCACAGAGTTCTTTAAGCTTACCTTACCATTGACTGATGTTGGTCTGCTTCAGGTGTTGTAATTTGGTTGGGTAGTGGGACTTCTTTGCAGTGCGTATTTCGGGGATAACTCGGTTGCGAAGGGACCTGTAGCGGATGTGGTCCTTGAGAAGAAAGGCTCTGTCTCTCTGTTGCATAAGTCTTTTGATCCGAGGTGTGATCCAGGCAAGTCAGCTGGGTGAGATCTGACGGACTTCTCGGGGAAGAAGTGGTGGTGAGCTTCCGTGGTGGTGTTGGTATAATTTTTCCATTTGGTTTCCACGTCATCCACGCTAAGTACTTCAGTCCAGGGATGGTGAACTATCCACTGCCCGAAGAGGCGCACTGCAGAGTCAGTAATCGGCCTGTAGGTCTTGACGTAGGGTCTCTGTACTTGAGTGGGAGTGGCAGCTGGGGACCGGAGCACTGACAAGTGTGTGCCACACCCAATAGGAGGCATTGGTTGAGGTGGTTGGTACTGGTCCGCTAAGTCAGTTAAGATAAGGTCAAGGGTATTTTGACCGTGTGTGGGGAAGTTCACAACTTGTGATAGTGACAGCTGGTCCTGGATATCAGTGGTGTCAATTTCATTATAATCCCCGCATAATACTAACTTGGCATATGGGTACCTAACTCTTAGGTGGTCTGAGGTGGTAATGAAATGATTGATAAGAGTCTTTGGTGGGTGAGCGAGGCGGATGGTATGCCACACAGATTATGATGGAAGCAGTGTGGCGCGGGTGGGCCCGTGGCACAACACGTACCCATAATGCTTCCACATCTGCTGGGACTTGAACATCCAGACGTGACGGGCGTAGGTCATCTTGACAGAAGAGGGGAACGCCCCCTCCACGTCTATGTGAATGAAGGTGATGAAAGAGTTGATATCCCTCAATATGACACGTTTCAGGCACAATTTGCCAAGCCTCACATATGGCAACGACGCTCACGGCGGCTGACCTGACTGTAGTTGCCAGCTCGTCAAACTTGTTAGCTAGGGAAGTGACGTTGGATAGCAGTAGAGACGGGAGATCATACCATATCCGTGGAACTTCAGTGTAGTGGTACAGTCTGTCAGGGGTGGGTTTCTCCGGTTTCCTAGTGGAGGTTACGGTCCTAATGGGCTTATGTGTATGACGGCCCTGTCTACGGCTAAGCGCGTGGAATATGTTCAGTGACTTGATTCGCGCGATAACACTGCCATCAGGATAACCTTTCCCACGCTTTAGATGGTACTGAGTGCGTCGGGAGTAAGTGATTGGTGGCCATCTGTTGATATCTGTTGTGGGCGGACGGAAGTTTTTGTCTCCGGTGGCCATAGACTCACTGACGGCACTTTGAGGGCCACTGACACTGGTAGACATCTGTTAATATTTGTCAGTCGTAAAGACCGTGGGTCCTTGTCCCTGGCGCTTGGGGTCGCCGACACAGTTTTCACGATATATGTAAACACCGCGGTGGTCCTTTTCACTGGCACTTTGAAGGTGACCGATAAAGTGCCCACTGTACGTGCCAAGGTGTTTCAGTACGTCACCTCGCTACCTCCGATATATTAAGTTAATGCCCTCAATATAAACAATTATATTATTCTACATAACAATGACACATTCCTTTATTCCACCCATATCACCTTTTTCACACAATTGGATATTAATTTTCACTATATAGGTAAATATAACGTTTCATCACTACAGCAGGTAATACACTATTGTACATATTAGTGTAAAATACAGTCCTCAGCTGATTCTTCAACCCTGCTTAGATACTGCAATAATAACCACTAACATTTTTTTTGCACCTTTGAGATAATGAGTAGTGTAATTAAACTGTTGCCTGTACAATATTTAACGCATTAGTCGAGCATTTAACTTTATAGTAGATTTAAGATATTGAAGAGGCAGATGTTCAAGTCTTCAATAACAAACTTCCTACCGGACAAATATTGATAACATTTATTTGCATTTCTTTACTCCCTTAACTAATACCAACAACTCTCTCTCTCTACTGTATTATAATACCTCTTTAGTTTCTTCAGTTTTCTACTCGAATATGTTTCCGGCCACAATTCACCCTCGTCATACTGTATCAACATAGCACCAACGCCCACACTTGATGCTTGAACAACACGTTTACATGAGAGTTTCTCCTCCAGGCTTTCAACTCATTTCTACTCCCGCTGTCTATACCAGTTGCTTGGTTTTATACCTGTTCTATACCACACAATAATATGAAATAAAATATCTATAATATCCCATTTATGCCAAGAAAGACAGGCATCTAGTTATCATTTCTAGGTAGAGGATAACTTCTTAACTTAGCTATCTTATCAGTTTGCAGCTTTTATCATGTTCACCAGTATTACCAACAGACCTTGGCTTAATCTTATCAAAGGATATCACACGGTTGTCGGGTGAAATCGAATTTAATTACCCGATAACCCTCCCAAAACCTCCCATTTTACTCTTTTAAAAAACCGATGGGGAATTTTACGAGTTCTCAAGTTAAACTCTGAACTGCTATAAATCTTTATTTCTATTAAATGCGATATACAGTACTTCTTATCTTTTTCTTGTAAAGGTACCTGTCAAAATATCGAGATCCAAACTATTTAACCAAAATGTCTTCCTGTCTAAACGTTGGTTCAGCATCAAACTGACTGGCACTGTTCAACTCTCTACAGTCACCACCTATCCTAACACCTCTAATTTTCTCCTGAACCTTTATAATGGGAATCACATTTCTCAATTATCTCTGCTTTGTCCAGTCCCGGAATATGTTTCAATAAGGTTCCACTTCCGCTACCTCGCCACCACAGACACGGAGAGAATTAATAATTTTTACAGTTACCTTCTTAACGCGTTCATAGTTAATAGGCCTCGAATATTAAGCTTGTTGGTGTATGATGGAATGATTACGAAGGAACTGCAAAAAAGCTGGATCATTCTTGTACAGTGTGATAAAACTGACATTACAGCTTATCGTAAATGAAGGGGCTCATTAGTCTCATCTACAGGAGTCTAGGAAGCTTAATAACTAATATCTTCACCCCGTGTTTTTCCTTTCAGAGGTTCGGGTGCCCGAAAAAACTCTTCCTTCACACTGTTATCAGCCGCAACCACATGCATAAATACACTCACGACATCGGTCCACTCATCAAATTGTAAACTGAGGTAAGTACTGTACATTCTTCTTAACTATCTCGTGGCCGTGTTTCCTTACAGTGGATCCATGGGCGACAAGGGACCTGCACACCACAGGTTGATGATCACTGCCTGGAGAAAGTGGATTAACAGCGTTTTCTATGTATGTATTAATGAAAGTAAATGAATTCCTATTATTGTTTTCCATCAGTGGTTAGAAATATTCTCACAACAATAATAATCTTGTTCGTATCCAGATGTGACAGAAAATGTGTTGTTATTGCCCATTATTTTTACTTCTGAATAGGCTAAAGGTAATATGAATAACATTTAGTAAACATTAATAACAGTAACCTTCTAAGTTACTTATTAGTTACGTGGAAACGAAAATAAAACCCATTTGAACTGTGTAGACGAGAAGTTTTTTTTAACAGCTGATTACAAGGGGATCGATCACTGATAAGGTTCTGGCCTCATCACATAATAACTGGTTTAAAGGATAATTTTGGTCTGCGTCACAGATAATAAACTGATTAATAAATATAACTTAAATATTAATGGTAGTAGGTTAATAACTCAAGGTTTAGTTTTAAAGTCGTTAATAAAACAGACATTATGGAGGGAAAAAGTTAACCATGAACACGTGTACCCTCCTCATGTTGCTTGTTTTGTGTACTTTTTATCGCTCTGATTAATTATGAAATGAAGTAATTCTTTTATATATTTTTTTCTATTTATACAGCCAGCAGAACAGCCAGTGATATGACCAGTGGTACAGCCAGCAGAACAGCCAGTGATATGACCGGTGGTACAGCCAGCAGAACAGCCAGTGGTACGACTGGTGGTACAGCCAGCAGAACAGCCAGTGGTACGACCGGTGGTACAGCCAGCAGAACAGCCAGTGGTACGACCGGTGGTACAGCCAGCAGAACAGCCAGTGGTACGACCGGTGGTACAGCCAGTGTTATAAACACCATGACAATTTCTAAAATACTACTCGTACTAGCCGTAGTATATCAGGTAATTATTTTAGGTTAATTATTTCGTTGTCAAAACTTAACGCTAAGCTGCGGTGATCTCTTGTGATAGGAATTATTAGTTCACCAACGAGAGCGCCACTAGCATCTCCCTGTGCGATGACGTGAAGCTGAGAGCAGGAGGCCCTCACATCTCCCCTCCGCGACTCGCACTAAGTCAAGGCTCTGATAACACAATTGGGCTAAACATCACCATTTCCTGTCTTATTCACCTGCAGCACAGCGTCTAGGAGAGAACTCAGTAGTCGCCTTTGCGCTTACGTAAATTTGCATTAAGATTGTTGACATTAATCAGTCCATGTACCACTGTTGAAGAAAACTGAAAAATTAGATAAGATATTTTCACCTAAAATTCAATACCCAGATTGTGTGTTTCCTGTGAGGATTAATTTTCCATTCAATTGTAATAATTTTTTTTTATTACTTTCTTTTCAGCTTCCAACCGAAACGGAGGATACTCAACAGCACAACGACCAGTATAGACAGATATCTTCCTGCAACACCCTCGTTGATAAACAAATGCGTGACAAAAGTTGGAAGCAGTTAGACATACCGGACAGCAAATGCACACGTCCTCTACTGAATGATATCAAAGATTTTAAGACTTGCGGCGGAAACAAACCAAAACCTCTTTTTCAAGAACTGTGTTTTATACGAAAAGTACATGAAGAGAAGACCCATACACTGGTGCTGTTAATGGACAAAAATTGCTCAGAGTCAGTGCTTAATTATTCCCCTCACCCAGATGACAGGTACAAATGCTTTTCCTACTATGCCCCAACTATACCCAATACTATTCCAGGTCCCACTAATAAACTCAGCAACACGGTACCAGTACTGCCTAAGGTTTACCTGGTGATAGTAACAGGAATATTGGTAGTTACTGTTTACTAGGTTTTATTTACTTGGCCAGAGTGAACGAACACAGCCATATTTTGTGTTGAATATGGAAATGTCTTCACGTTAACTGAATCTATATGCATGTGGGTGTGTGCGTTGGGGAGTGAATCACTTGATTGACAAAAGTTTCCAGTACAAAAATATAAGAAATTTAGAGACAACATATTGATTAACTATAGATCTGGTACTGTGGGAGCTGGTCTTGTAAACAGTCTTGTGATCTGATATCAGCGTCAACAAAGTCCTTCCCTTTTTTGGATGACCGTCATACCTAGGTGCTAAGGGACTGCTCCCTCACTACAGCTGCAGATGTTTAGCACATCCCCCACATGGTCCGGGTAGGTCCTTAAGCTCACACAAGGCGTTGGAGAGGGTTCTTGTGGAAACAGGCAAATGTAGTACCCAAATTCAAAAAGGGAGACAGAGCATCAGCGTCAAATTACCGGCCGATCAGTTTGACGTCAGTAGTGGGGAAATTTCTTGAATCAATTATAGCAGATAGCATCCGATCGCATCTAAAGAAAAGCAAATTAATCTACGACTCTCAACATGGGTTTACAAAGGGAAAATCTTGTCTAACAAATCTGCTGACTTTTTTAGGAAAGTCTTCGAGGTAGTAGATAATGACTTAGACTTTAGCAAAACATTTGACAGAGTACCGCATCAGAGGCTTCTGAGAAAAATTAAGGCTCATGGTATCGAGGGGAAAGTTTTAAATAGGATAAAATCATGGCTCACCGATAGAACGCAGAGGGTCAGCGTAGATGGTGTTAACTCTGAGTGGGGCCGTGTAACCAGTGGGGTTCCCCAGGGGTCAGTACTAGGCCCACTCTTGTTCATAATCTACATAAACGATCTAGATACTGGGATCAGCAGTGACATAAGCAAGTTTGCGGATGACACCAAAATAGGGCGGCAGATTAATTCAGGGCAGGATGCAAATGCATTACAGGAGGATCTAAATAAACTGCAGGAGTGGTCTGAAAAATGGCAAATGAAATTCAACACCAGCAAGTGCAGCGTACTTAATATTGGAAGAACAAATACTGTCAATGTATACAGCCTTAACAACATCAACCTAGAGAAGTCGACTTGTGAAAGAGACCTAGGGGTACTTGTAAGCCCGGACCTACGGCCTAGAAAACAGTGCGTTAATGTTCGAAATAAGGCAAACAGAGCATTGGGTTTTATATCAAGAAGTGTAAGTAACAAGAGTGCAGAGGTCTTATTGCAACTATATCTTGCGTTAGTCAGGCCGCACCTCGATTATGCGGTTCAGTTCTGGTGCCCCTATTATAGAATGGATATAAATTCACTAGAGTCGGTGCAGCGAAGAATGACAAAAATGATTCCGGGAGTTAGAAACCTTCCATATCAGGATAGGTTAAAGAAACTTAACTTGCATTCCCTAGAAAGACGAAGAGTGCGGGGAGATATGATAGAAGTATTTAAGTGGGTGAAAGGAATCAATATAGGGGATATAGATAAAGTTCTTATAATATCCGAGCAGGATAGGACTCGGAGCAACGGATTCAAGTTGGATAAGTTTAGGTTTAGGAGAGAGATAGGAAGAAACTGGATCACAAATAGGGTGGTGGACAAGCGGAACAAGCTTAGCAACTTTGTAGTAAGTGCGGGAACTCTGGAAAGTTTCAAAAGGAGGCTAGATAGATTCATGGATGATAGAGAGTGGTAGTAACTCTCGACAGGAGCTGCCATGCACAGGCCAACCGGCCTATTGCAGACTCCTTATTTTCTTATGTTCTTATGTTCTCATCCAGTGACGGTGGTGGGGAGTGTGTGGCGGACCCTGGGTGTGTGAGATCCGCGTCAGGTCTACATTCACCACCGAGCACTGATTGTCACTCTCTGACAGTTGTATCTTTCTTTCGCGTTGAAATTGCCACTTTTGTATATCAGTTGTGGGTTGATCGTGATTCTTTGCACTATATGTTAGGGGGCAAATGTTGATAAATCAAGGTGGGGAGGAAATGACGAAGGGGAAGTCCCGACAGACCAGGCTGGCAGCTGTCTCCATGGTTTAAAAGACCCCGGCCGCCTTAGTAGAGCAGCGCCGAGTACAATACGTCCTCACCCCAGAAGCTGAAGATGATGTGTGTATGTGTGTGTGTTCCTTATTTATTTCCACAGTTTTGATTACAAAGAGTTGAAATTTAGTAGGGAGGTGCGGGTGGTGTAGGGGCTAATCGTTATGCACACTCTTCTGCTCCCTCCCCTCCCCTCAACCTAGGTATCGACCGTTCTTTTGTCATAGGTAGATTTTGTGTTTTATCATAATTTACATTGTATGAATATCACACAACATTGGTTTTATTTGATTCTGTGTTTACTGACGTCTTGCACTGATTTCATGTATAGTACACCTGAGTTCTTACGCCTCGTGTGGTTTTGTTGTGTAGTTTGCTTCATGATGGGGATAAACTACTCCGAAACTATAGCGATGAAATAAACAAATTGAATTTCCAAGTATTGGTTTTATTGTTCACCATAACACTCAGCTTCACACACACACACACACACACACACACACACACACACACACACACACACACACACACACACACACACACACTTGAAGAACTCTTAGATATGGGTACAACAGCGTGTAACCAATATAATATACATACTGTACAATTTAGAGTAAGTAGTTAATAACTTACAACCATGGTTATACTTCTTAGCGATAGACCAAACACCCGGCTGCAGTCGAAAGGATGTTTCTTCTTGTCCGAGTGTCGCAGTATGATGCAACCCTCACTGTAAGTAGTAGGTAATTCTTTAAAACACTGAATAGGTTGCTCATTTGTGGTAAATGGATACTTTGCTCTACACTTGCAATGCGTCAAGTATGTTAGATAGTTAGTTAAGTAATATATAGATAATTGCACCGCCAGTTAAGAGTGATTCATTGGTCAAAGGGATCATTTACCAGCCGGTTGTTTATACACGTAATGCAAACACCGCTGATTGTAGAGTTGCTTGACATTCCAACGAGACGACTACTTCCTCCTTTGAGAACCTTCTAGAAGTTTGACTCATAGACCGCTCTGGTGGCGAGTGCACGAATTACTATCTACGGGCGTGACACAGCCAAGCCCTCAGTCAGTCATGGACTGGACCACTTTTAGTAAAGATCTACACCTGGAACTTCATTACGAGCTTGACTAACACAAATGCCTGCCTCAGTACAGGGGTGGTCTGAAAAATGGCAAATGAAATTCAACACCAGCAAGTGCAGTGTACTTAATATTGGAAGAACAAATACTGATAATGTATACAGCCTTAACAACATCAACCTAGAGAAGTCGACTTGTGAAAGAGACCTAGGGGTACTTGTAAGACCGGACCTACGGCCTAGAAAACAGTGCGTTAATGTTCGAAATAAGGCAAACAGAGTATTGGATTTTATATCTAGAAGTGTAAGTAACAAGAGTGCAGAGGTCTTATTGCAACTATATCTTGCGCTAGTCAGGCCGCACCTCGATTATGCGGTTCAGTTCTGGTGCCCTTATTATAGAATGGATATAAATTCACTAGAGTCGGTGCAGCGAAGAATGACAAAAATGATTCCGAGACTTAGAAACCTTCCATATCAGGATAGGTTAAAGAAACTTAACTTGCATTCCCTAAAAAGACGAAGAGTGCGGGGAGATATGATAGAAGTATTTAAGTGGGTGAAAGGAATCAATAAATGGGATATAGATAAAGTGCTTATAATATCCGAGCAGGATAGGACTCGGAGCAACGGATTCAAGTTGGATAAGTTTAGGTTTAGGAGGGAGATAGGAAGAAACTGGTTCACAAGTAGGGTGGTGGACGAGTGGAACAAGCTTAGCAGCTTTGTAGTAAGTGCGGGAACTCTGAAAAGTTTCAAAAGGAGGCTAGATAGATTCATGGATGATAGAGAGTGGTAGTAACTCTCGACAGGAGCTGCCATGCACAGGCCAACCGGCCTATTGCAGACTCCTTATTTTCTTATGTTCTTCTTATGTTCTTATGACTCACAACGAGAACTCTTCAATAACAGATCACTTGGCCAGTCCAATTAGCTGTACAGTATTTAGACTTGTAAATATCACACAGTACATATACACCAGTTTTGACTCTGATTATCCCCCTTTGTAAGATCATAATTATCGACAGTCTCAGGCATTCTACTGATATCAACAGGACTCTAAATAACTACACGCAAATAAATATTTAGTGAGACTGTATACTGACAAGTCTCACTCCTCACTGGCCTACAAGCCATAGGCCTACAAACGTTCACTATTAATAACTGTACTGTAGCCCTCTCTTCCCGTTGTCTCACCTTCACTCACTCACTCACTTGTTTGTCACATGTGTATATAAAAGTTGGAGGACAGTGAGATATATTTAGCTTGGACTGGATCACACATTATGTGTTTTGTACAGTTGGATCAGCAGAAGCCAGGTTTTAAAAGATGGACAGTCTGCGAGGAGGGTCCATCCTACACACACAACACACTATTTTTTTTTTAGGAAGCTTCTTTTTACTGAGTGAACAACGGAGCTTAGTAACATGATCCTCCTGTTCATTTAAGTTCCCAGTGCAGAAATTTGATGATGTTTACACTTTGCTTGCCTCCAACCCTGTGCAAATAAAGAAGTAAGGGGAAAGAACTCTTGAGATGTCTTCCTCTCTCCATCCCTCCACCTGCTGTCTTTCTCCCTCCTTCAATTAGTTGTCTTCCTCTCCCTCCCACCATCAAATGTTTCCCCCCCCCTCCCTTCCTCCATCAAACGTTTCCCTCCCTCCCTCCCACCATCAAATATCTCCCTCCTTGGACCCAAAGCCGCCTTCCCTGCCTCTCCCTCCCTGCAATCCTCTGTACCCCCTCCCCTGTAATCCTCCCTGTCTCTATATCTAAGTCTCCTGCTACCTCCCTCCCTCTCTACCTCCCTCCCCCCCTCTCTCTACCTCCCTCCCCCTCTCACCTCCCCTCCCTCCCCCTCTCTCTCCCTCCCTCCCTCTCTTCTCCTGGCCAATTTTCGTCCTCTCAGCATAGGTATCTCCTCCTTCTCCATAGATCCTCCTTCTCTCTCTCCTCCTCCCCTCTCTCTCGTCCCTCTCTTCTTCTCCTCTCACTCTCTCTCTCCTTCCTCCCTAAGTCTTTTCAGCCCTCCACCAGATTTTTCTCTTCCTCCTTCAACACACTTGAGTATAACCCTCCTGCTTTTCACTACAAACCAGTTTCTCACTACACCAGTACTGCCTCTCACTACACCAGCTCCCTTACTACGCCTCTCCTATGCTCTCCCTAGTACTGTACTGCCTACACCAGTACACACCAGTACTGCCTCCCTACACCAGTACTGTCTCCCTAGTACTGCCCTCTCCCCCCCCAGTACTGCCTCCTCCACTGCCTCTCCCACACCAGTACTACACCTTGCCCAACACCAATATTGCCTCTCCCTACACCAGTACTGCCTCTCACTACACCAGTACTGCCTCTCCCTACACCAGTACTGCCTCTCCCTACACCAATACTGCCTCTCACTACACCAGTACTGCCTCTCACTACACCAGTACTGCCTCTCACTACACCAGTACTGCCTCTCCCTACACCAGTACTACCTCTTGCCACACCAGTACTGCCTCTCCCTACACCAATATTGCCTCCCATTCTCACCTATACGTTAACAGCTTCAGTTAAAACTTGAATTATTGTGAAATTAAAAATATATGAATTTCTCCCATGTTGTGTAATGCTGGATACCCTTACCTATTGTTATCCTATTGGGTGTGATATTATGGGAGTTTTTACAGTATATGAAATAGGTATTGAGATAGGGAGATTGAGGGAGGGTGAGGAAGGATGAGGTGAAGGTGAGGGAGGATGAGGGAGAGTGAAGGAAGTTGAAGGAGCATGAGGGAGGTTGAGGGGAAGGTGAGGGAGGATGAGGCAGGATAGGATAAGGAGGGATGAGGGAAGATGAGGGGAAGGTGAGGAAGGGTGAGGAAGGATGAGGGAGGATGAAAGGAGGGTGAATGAGGATAGAAAAGGATGAGCGAAGGATGAGAGGGTGAAGGAGGATCAGGTAGACTGTTCATTCCCCCTCAACACAACCTCCACAACCTATACACCAGTTCAGTCATCATCCACACTTAACATTCAGTCCCTCCTGACAAACTCACTTCACGGGTCCCTTGAGATCACTTAACGACGTCTTGCCAATCTCACGTCGTTGTGACTCCCGTAAACTGACTATCTCTCAGCTGGGTGAGGGGGGAGATATGTGTCTAAAGGGAATATGAAGAGGGTCTTATGTTTTTTATTTTTTATTCTGAAGGTGTGACGCAGGTGTGACGCAGGTGTGACGCAGGTATGGCGCAGGTGTGACGCAGGTGTGACGCAGGTATGGCGCAGGTGTGACGCAGGTGATGAGGTGTTGACCTTGTACCTGTAGGCGTTGAAGGCCTTCTTGCCTAATTAAATACACCTGCTTCTTAATGGTATTATTTTCGCGTCAGCTTTTCTTTACTTCTTGCCAACAACAATACAATGAAAATAAATACACAAACAGCATTGATTGATCGGAAATTTGCCATACTGAGTAGAGTAAACTGTCTACATGATTCCTTCAATTTTGTGTGTGTGTGTGTGTGTGTGTGTGTGTGTGTGTGTGTGTGTGTGTGTGTGTGTGTATATAGTGTGTGTGTGTGTGTGTGTGTGTGTGTGTGTGTAGGAAAGATCAGCCCAAAACTTCCTTAAAATCTGGGAAAACTTTTATCGTACTAAAAAAAAATATAAGGAAAATAAGTTAATAGCAAACATGTATATTCGTATTATACCTACTTATTCACATTAAAATATCAAAACACCACAAAGATACACCAACATGGCCTGATAGAAGCTTCATCAAACCCTCGTCACTCTCCCTCCCTGACTGTCAACACTCACACAATTTTTATCTGAAACAACAAATAACTCTTCCTTTATCTCTGAGTCACACCTGCGTCTCTCTGTGTGGTGATTTACAGGTGATTTTATCTTATACTGTCAATTAGGTGGTTGATGGACTGTTATACTATAGTGATTGATATTATGGGCCATTAATACAAATTCCCTGACAGTCTTATCTTAATGCACACTTGATAAACTAATAAATAAATAAATAAATAAATAAATAAAAAACCAAAAGAGCCCCCAAAAAAGGTTAACTAATGGGTATACTAATTTGCATATTGTTTTTATTATAGTATTTATTTTATATGTAAAGTTATTTAGTTAGGTTAGGTTAGGTTAGGTAAGAATGAATTAGATTAGATTAGGTTAGGTTAGGTTAAGTTAGGTTAGATTATTCACACATAGTCCATCCTACAGACCTTTGAAATCGACAATTCATTTTACATCCATGTTTCATACTGCTTACTGTAGGCTTATTCCCGTTCATCCCAGATAATGCTCCCTGACACAACACTGCCTCTCTATCACCTTACGTCTTTCTCTTACACTTTAAGGGAGAGATAATCTACCAACCACTTGTGTACTGGGTTCACTCTCTGCTGAATAAAATCATCTAGCCTCTCCGTAGTGGGTTAAGCTTAAAGTCCCTGTTTATTACCTTCACGATTACACTATGTTATGTCTCTAAACCACCTCATGTTATATTGAGGTCATACGGTCAATCACATGTTGTTTACAGTTAATATAATATCAATTCATTCGTTATTTTTCTAACTCATTTTATCGTTCTGGTACGGTTTTACCCTAAAATTTGGGTTCCTTCAGAGATATAAGTGAACTTGCTCCACGGACCGGCGGCGCCTCCTGAGTGGCAATCCCATTTTTCAGGCCAATTTCTTCGCTCTTTGTGTGGGCGAGAAGTTGGTGAAGAGGTCGGAGTCCAGTTTCTGCTGTGCTGCTCACTTCCTCATGCTGAGTTTTGGTGTCCAAATAAGCGTGCACTTTAGCTGTGATTGGTCCAGATGGTTCACTATATCTTACACCTCAGCTATGATTGGTCCTTAGGTTTCACTATCGCCTCTGTCATGCACCAGAATCAAGGTTATCACAAATATTACATCTAGAATTATAATAAAGAAGGAGACACCCAATATACTATTACCAAAACAGCACCACGGAAGACACACTTAACACACTTAATAAACATTCCTCCACAAGTTTGATTTTATTGTGTATTAAGTATTAAGTAACAAATTTTTGTTTTTAAGATGCAGTTTATATTTTTTGTTTGTTAAGGAGTACGGAATTTTTAGACGCTCTTCCCTGGTAGGCGAAGAGCGTTATGTTTTGTCTTCTTATTTTTGTTATTTGTGTTATGCTTTTAAAGGATTTTTATGTCTCATCATACTTGGTTCTGACTTATTTACTTGTTTACTGAGGTTGATCATCATGTTTGGTAAAGCTGAAGATCACACGATGTAAACAGAGACAAGTTTGGTGGTGAAGTCTCGTCTCCTCGTTCCACTCAACAACCAGCACATGTTTTAGAGCCTTTAAAGTGTGAGGTCCACCTTCCTTGTTTACTTGAGTCGGGTGAAATGCTTGTGGTCAAGTCCTTTACCAACTAAATCGTGTCTGCCTGATGTTTTAAACTCATTTTCTTCAAGTTCAGGGCCAATACTTCAGTTAATGGGTTGTGGGTGCTTGTTAGAGACATAATGGAGAGAAGGATATAGGGAGAAGCTTCACTGACTGCTGAGGGTAAAGTTCAAGAGGTAACTTATGTTTAGCTAACACGAACACACTCAGTCATTCCCATTGTTGGAAGTAATGACCTCTGAGAGTCCTTTTAAAACAATTATACACTAACTTTTCCAAATTATTATTAATACAGTCAATACTTGCACAGTCAATCTCTACCATGCTAGAAGTGACACAGTAACTACGGCCATGTTAACAGTGACAGTTAACATCTCCCTCCATATTAAAACTCTCACTACGCCGTCTTGACCACAGAAAACTCACTCTGTCTACTCACTTTCACTACCTTTCGCTGTCATTCAGGAACAAAACTGACTTTGCAGAGCCTATTGTGAGTCGTGTAGTGGCAGTGCTTCAACAGTGAAAGTTGTGAGTCGTGTGGGTCGTGGTTCTCATAACACTGAGTTGTGTGAGAGAAGATGAGTTGTGAGTCGTGTGGGTCGTGGTTCTCATAACACTGAGTTGTGTGAGAGAAGATGAGTTGTGAGTCGTGTGGGTCGTGGTTCTCATAACACTGAGTTGTGTGAGAGAAGATGAGTTGTGAGTCGTGTGGCAGAAGTCTTTTAAAGAATGTGTGTGTGTGTGTGTGTGTGTGTGTGTAATAATAATTATAATAATAATAATTAACGGTTTATTAAAAAAGTTCGGCAGCCCGAAGGCTGAAAATATACATTATAAGAAAAAAAGACTTATTACATCCAAAGACATGGGGTGGGTGGGTCGCTTAACAAAAGCTTTCATTACTAAAAGGAAAAGGAACATGAATTGAATATACAAATTATTATAGTTTACAGATGATGGCCCGGGCTCGACTCTTGCCATACTGTGTGAGGTCATGTAGGTCACGTGGTGTAGTGACTCCTCCATAGGTGTTGGCATGAAGGACCACACGTAGTTATGGAGACACCAGGTGGTGTGGTGTTCACGTGGTCTAGTAACTCGTCCTTGGCTAATGCCATTAAGGACCTCACGTAGTCATGGAGACACCGAGTGGTGTGGTGTTCACGTGGAATGCAGGAAAAAATGGCACAGGAAAAAATGGCAATAGGAAAATATGGCACTGGAAAAAAAGGCATAATCATCAGACTAGGAAAAACTGGCACATAAATTTTTATTGATATGTTTTCACTAAAATTTTATAACTTTTGTTACTGAAACTTACTTAGAGTTATATCAACGTCATAACATAAAACATTTATTACCTTTAACTAAAACATTCTACCATATGTTAGTGAAAACTCGTACATAAATGAATTACATAATTAAGAATGTCACATTGCATATAATTGTTTAAGATTTCCAACGAATGTTATAGCCAGCGCCTTGCAGAAACTCTTGGACTGACTTGCGACCAGTTTGGCGGTCCTGGCAGAGGGTCTTCAGCCTTGTCTGGAGGTTCTTGTAAACAAGTTTTTGGCGCTTCCTGGGTGGCTCACCACGAGATTCTTTGATAATGTGAGATAATACAACAGCGTGGTCAGCTTGGATCCACTGGATGGAATGCCAGATAGTTGGGTGGCTGTGCCCAACCAACCTGGTAGTAGAGGAAGTAAAGAAAGCTTTGAAAGGAATGAGTGTTAGTTACAAGACTAGCGAGGTCATCCTAAAACTATATCTTAAGCTTGTGAGACCTCACTTAGATTACGCAGTTCAGTTCTGGTCACCGTACTAGAGAATGAATATAGAATCCCTTGAAAGAATTCAGAGAAGGATGACAAGACTAACCCCGGACATTAGGAACCTTGAGTACAGAGACATGTTAAAGCATCTTCATCTGCACTCCCTCGAGAGACGTAGAGTGAGGGGCGATATGATCTAGGTGTATAAATGAAAGTCTGCTAAACAAAGGTGATAAAACAAGTTACCAAAGGATCATCATTAACTCTAATACGCTTCAAACATAGGCTCGTTAGCTCGTTTGTGGTTCGTGAGCTCGAAGTGAAATTTGTTGTGCCATTTTTTCCGAGTATGAAAATTGTGCCATATTTTCCTGTGCCATTTTTTCCGGTGCCATATTTTCCGAGTACTGTTCACGTGGTGTAGTGACTCGTTCTCTGGTGTTGAAATGAAGGACCTCATGTAGTCATGGAGACACCGAGTGGTGTGGTATTCACGTGGTGTAGCGACTCGTCCTCGAGTGTTGATATGAAGGACCTCCGTGGTCATGGAGACACTGGATGGTGTGGGGGTAATGTCACAGTACCTCACTCTCTGCAAAGTGATGTTGTGTTATCTCGTCGTCAGGTGTAAGGCCGACCCACTGCTCCTTCAGGGTGGACTGATTAACACCATCAGGGGTGCTGTCTCACTGGTGGGTCACGGCTCTCACTGGTACTGTCTAGTGCTGAATTCACTGGCCTAAGCACTGTTCATCACTGTTCAACACCGATCCCACCTTTTTCCGGAACAAAATTGTCACTTTTGACGGGATTATGTTGATATCTCTGTGGTAATTCCCTCACAGATGGTGTTATGAGGGGCCTGATGTGGTGTAGTAATTCCCTCACAGATGGTGTTATGAGGGGCCTCACGTGGTGTAGTAATTCCCTCACAGATGGTGTTATGAGGGGCCTCACGTGGTGTAGTAATTCCCTCACAGATGGTGTTATGAGGAACTTCACATGATGCTGTAGCAACTCACTCACTCAAGTGAGTGAGGTGTGGTTCCAGGCCTCCTTATCGTGGACGAATTAACACAAAGCTGGTGTTGTTGAGTCTCAGGGGCAGTTATCATTGGGTTGCCTGGGACCTCACTGTGTGAAGGTTAACTTGGGTACCACTCAGCTGTTGAGTTGTTTTTCACTGACCTAAGCACTGTTCACCACTATTCAACACTGGTTTCATTCCTTTCCTAAATGAAATAGTAACTTCTGGCGAGAACTTGTCGATGTTCGGGTGGAGAGGAGGGGTTCAGGGGAGGGGGTTGGTATGGCCAACATAACAATTGACCTGGCTGCTGCTAGAGCTGCGCCAGGTACTTCTTGACCCTTCGGTGGCCAAGGATATGTGTGTGTGTGTGTCTTTAAACTGCTAAGAGAACATATGGGCACGGGGGTGGAGGAGACTGCAGTGGGAGAGGGTAAACAAGGCGAAAGATTACAGGGAAATAGTGTTAGGAATGATGACAAAACTAAATTAGACAGGGAGTTTAAAACTAAACGCGGTAAGGGGAGGACTCAGAACACGACTAACTTAAATGTATACTACGCGAACAGTAGAAGTATGAGAAACAAAATGGATGATATTAAGGCCTTGGTATGTACCGAAGAAATCGATATAATTGCATTCACTGAAACATGGATCAACCTAGACACACGTGAATTACCAGTCGAATACCAAATTGCGGGTTACAAACTGTTCCATACCGATAGGCAGACCAGGAAAGGAGGCGGAGTAGCAATCTATGTTAGGGATAATCTGAAGTGTGAAATAAATAAGGAAATAAAAACTGAGAGGAATACAGAAACAATTTGGATAGAATTAAGCAACGGTCGGGAAAAATTAATCACAGGGGTAATATATAGACCCCCCAATCTTGATAGCGTCAATGAGCGACTTATCTGGGATGAAATGCGCAGGGCTTCCATACACAACAAAGTCTGTATAGTAGGCGACTTTAACCTTGGCCAAATAGATTGGACTGTCCTTACGGGTAACTCAGAATCAGAGGATTTTCTCGAGACGATCCAGGACTGTTTCCTAAGTCAACATATAACCGAACCCACACGGGGTAATAATATACTGGATTTAGTTCTGTCGAACAGTAGAGAAAACCTATTAGCAATGTCGAGGTAGGAACTAGCTGTAAACAGCTTATCACAAAGAAATTGATTCAGTTAGATTTTCAGGCAGACGAAGGAAAATTCCACCAAAGTACCAGATTTCAGAAGGGCAAACTTTGGACAGTTTAAAGAGGCAAGGAGAGAGGGTAGTCACATGGCCATGAACCTGACAGATGACACAGACCTGATAACGAGATCTGAGATTGCTTTAGTTCCATGACAATTTAAATAGTGAGTTACTTTAATGCGTGAAAGGCAGTAAACATACCATACAAAAAAACTCAGACCAGACAACAAATGACCCTAAATGTATAAATAATTATTTAAAGAACACTGGCTGGCCAAAGAAGGCTATATAGAAGGATAAATCGTGGCGAAATTCACCGACTATTATAGGGTATTGGCGCAGTGGTGGTTAAAACCGAGATAAGGAAAAGCAAGAGGAATAATGAGGTAAGGATAGCAAGGAGGCGAAGACAAACCCTGTGCTGATTCTAAAATGTATCAAACTAAAATGAGAAAAGATTGGGACCAATACGGAGATCTTCGCAGCTCACTGATAACAATGAAAATGAGCACAATTTGAATAAATATTTTTCTGCCAGTTTTCACCAATCGCACTTAAACATGATAATATTTATAAAAATCGACTCTATTCAGAGATAGTGAATAAAACAAATTAAGTGAGATAGTAGTGACTAGTAAATTCATGGTACAAATAGACAAACTAAAGCCTAATAAGTCACCTGGTCCCGATGAGATATTTGCCAGAGTATTAAAGGAATGTAAGGAAGAGCTTAGTATGCCCTTAGCAGTTAAGCTGAAATATGTCCTTAAAACAGGTGTAGTACCAGAATCCTGGAGGATAGCGAATTTAATACCGATTTTCAAGAAGGGGATAGATCACTATCCTCTAACTACCGCCCAATCAGTCTAACATCAATAGTAGGCAAATTACTGGAAGCAATCATTTCAAACTCTATTCGAAATCACCTGGAGAAGCAATCGATTGATCAATGATTCCCAGCATGGCTTCAGCAAGCTTTTTGACGTTTTGCCCAATTCAATCTATTAACATTCTTTTTTCATCAGTTTTCGAATCAGTGGACGAGGGCACACTATGATAGGTATATCTCGACTTTTAGTAAAGCTTCGACAGAGTCCCCACGAAAGACTAACTAGAAAGGTAGAGCTCATGGCATCAAAGGTGACATCCTTAAATGGATTAGGCGGGTTACAGGACAGGAAAAGGAAAAGTGAGCATTAACGGCACTAAGTCCTATTGGAGCAATGCCACAAGTGGAGTTCCCCAAGGCTCAGTACTTGGACCATTATTTATTATATACATAAACGACATAGATATCGTATAGACAGCAACATAAGTAAATTTGCCGGATGACACTAAAATAGACGGTTATCAAATCTGACGAGACCTCGCAAAACTACAGGAAGATCTAAACAAATTTTCGAATGGTCTGGAAAATGGCAGATGAAATTCAACGTCGGCTAAAATGTAAAGTACTCAGTATAGGAGATGTAAAACAGGGAAACCAGATACTAGATGAACAACGATGCCATAGAGAAATCCGACTGCTAGAGAGATTTAGGAATAATGATAAGTAGGAACCCGTCAAGTAAACAATGCGTTTTTGCTCGTGAACAAGGCTAATAAAGCATTGATTCATACAAAGGAAAGTGTTAGTTACAAGACCAGCTGAGTCATCCTAAACTGTATCTTATACCTTGTGAGAGACCACACCTGGATTATTTAGTTCAGTTCTCAGTCACCAGACACAGAATGGATATAGAAATCCTTGGAAAGAATTCAGAGGAGAATGACAAGACTAATCCGGGGCATTAGGGAACCTTGAGTATAGAGACAGGCGGAAGCATCTAATTTGCACTCTCTTGAGAGACGTAGAGCGAGGGCGACCTGATAGAGGTGTATAAGGGAAGGCAGGGCTAAACAAAGGACATTACAAAGGTACTTCCAATTATCTACCCAGGAGCGAACTCCTAACAATGGTTTTAAATTAGACAAATTTAGATTTAGGCGAAATAGTAAACACTGGTTTGGAAATGGAGTAGTGGATGAATGGAACAAGTTAACAACATCATCATTAACTCGAATACGCTGAATTGCTTCAAACATAGGTTGGATGCTTATATGAGCAATAGGGGTTGGGTGTAAACGGACTGCTCCAGTATGGGCCAATAGGCCCGCAGCTTCTCTATTCTTATGTTCGTATGTTCTTATGTGTGTGTGTGTGTGTTACCCTGTGTGTGTGTGTGTGTGTGTTACCCTGTGTGTGTGTGTGTGTGTTTGTGTGTGTGTGTGTGACCCCAGTTATGTTGTACAAGGCAGTTGTCATATAAATTAATAAACAAACTCAATCACAAACAGATGAAAAGATAACATATATTGGGACAGAGTTAATGAGGTAAAAATAGTGAGAGAGAGAGAGAGAGAGAGAGAGAGAGAGAGAGAGAGAGAGAGAGAGAGAGAGAGAGAGAGAGAGAGAGAGAGAGAGAGAGAATGGTCCGACTCCCCAACCATTTATTTTGTTATTTCCTCAGAAAATATCCAACAATATTAAACCTTCTATGCTAAGAATTTGGTTATGACATTCCAGACCGGTGTGGGTGGGGTGGAGTGTGTCTGTTGGTCCGTGAGCCGGTGTTGGACATAGGACACTTGGACATACTGGGAGTAAAAGGACATGGTTATAATGGACATAGAAACGGAAGCCTTGGTTATGTAGTGTTATTTTTCACCCACTGTAGTCGAGTCAATAGCCACCAAGTGAAGTGTTTTCTGTCTTTGTCTTTGAACAGGAACAGTGACACCAGGAACAGTGACACAAACAGTGACACCAGGAACAATGACACCAGAAACAGTACACCAAGAACAGTGACACCAGGAACAGTGACAATGGGGAACAGTGACCCAGGAACAGTGACACCAGGAACAATGACACCAGGAACAGTGACACAAGGAACAGTGACACCAGGAACAATGACACCAGGAACAGTGACAGGATCAGTGACACAAGGAACAATGACACCAGGAACAGTGACACCAGGAACAATGACACCAGGAACAGTGACACCAAGAACAGTGACACCGGGAACAGTGACACCAGGAACAGTGACACCAGAAACAGTGACACCAAGAACAGTGACACCAGGAACAGTGACACCAGGAACAGTGACACCAGGAACAATGACACCAGGAACAGTGATACCAGGATCAGTGACACAAGGAACAGTGACACCAGGAGTGACACCAGGAACAGTGACACCAGGAACAGTGACACCAGGAACAGTGACACAGGAACAGGAAACAGTGACACCAGGAACAGTGACACCAGGAACAGTGAACCAAGAACAGTGACACCAGGAACAGTGACACCAGGAACAATGACACCAGGAACAATGACACCAGGAACAGGATACCAGGATCAGTGACACAAGGACACAGTGACACAGGAACAGTGATACCAGGATCAGTGACACAAGGAACAGTGACACCAGGAACAGTGATACCAGGATCAGTGACACCAGAACAGTGACACCAAGAACAGTGACACCAGGAACAGTGACACCAGGAACAATGACACCAGGAACAGTGACACCTGAACATGACACCAGGAACAGTGACACCAGGAACAATGACACAGTGACACCCAGGAACAGTGATGATAGGAACAGTGACACCAGGAACAGTGATAACAGGATCAGTGACACACAGGAACAGTGATACCAGGATCAGTGACACAGGAACAGTGGAACAGTGACACCAGGAACAGTGACACCAGGAACAATGACACCAGGAACAGTGACACCAAGAACAGTGACACCAGGAACAGTGACACCAGGAACAATGAACAGGAACAGTGACACCAGGAACAGTGATACCAGGATCAGTGACACAAGGAACAGTGACACCAGGAACAGTGATACCCCAGACACAGGGAACAGTGACACCAGGAACACATGACACCAGTGAACCAGGTGACAGGAACAGTGACACAGGAACAGTGACACCAGGGACCAGGAACAGTGACACCAGGAACAGTGATACCAGGATCAGTGACACAAGGAACAGTGACACCAGGAACAATGACACCAGGAACAGTGACACCAGGAACAGTGACACCAGGAACAATGACACCAGAACAGTGACACACAGGAACAGGAACAATGACACCAGGAACAGTGATACCAGGATCAGTGACACAAGGAACAGTGACACCAGAACAGTGATACCAGGGACACAAGGAACAGTGACACCAGGAACAGTGATACCAGGATCAGTGACACAGGAACAGTGACACCAGGCACAGTGACAGGAACAGTGATACCAGGATCAGTGACACAAGGAACAGTGACACCAGGAACAGTGACACCAGGAACAATGCCATCAGAACAGTGCCATCAGGAACAGTGCCATCAGAACAGTGACACCAGGAACAGTGACACCAGGAACAGTGCCACCAGGAACAATGCCATCGGGAACAGTGCCATCAGGAACAGTGCCACCAGGAACAGTGCCACCAGGAATAATGCCATCAGAACAGTGATCAGTGAGAACAGTGCCACCAGGAACACACCAGGAACACTGCCATCAGGAACAGTGACACCAGGAACAGTGGCACCAGCAACAGTGGCACCAAGAACAGTGACACCAGGAACAGTGCCATCAGAACAGTGCCACCAGAACAGTGACACCAGGAACAGTGCCATCAGGAACAATGCCATCAGGAACAGTGCCATCAGAAACAGTGCCATCAGGAACAGTGACACCAGGAACAGTGACACCAGGAACAGTGCCATCAGGAACAATGCCATCAGAACAGTGCCATCAGAACAGTGCCATCAGAACAGTGACACCAGGAACAGTGCCATCAGGAACAGTGAACAGTGATCAGGACAGTGACACCAGGAACAGTGCCATCAGGAAAGTGCCACCAGGAACAGAACAGTGAACACACCAGGAATAGTGACACCAGGAACAGTGTCACCAGAAACAGTGCTATCAGAATAGTTCCACCAGGAACAGTGACACCAGGAACAGTGACACCAGGAACAATGCCACAATGAACAGGAACAGAACAATGCCATGCCATCAGGAACATTGCCACCAGAAACATTAACACCAACGAACAGAGCCACCAGGAACAGTGCTACTCAGGAACAGTGACACCAAGAACAGTGACACCAGAACAGTGACACCAAGAACAGTGACACCAGGAACAGTGACACCGGGAACAGTGACACCAAGAACAGTTACACCAGGAACATTGACACCAGGAACAGTGCCACCAGGAACAGTGTGAGACCAGGAACAGTGCCACCAGGAACAGTGACACCAAGAACAGTGACACCAAGAACAGGACACAGGAACAGGACACCAAGAACAGTGACACCAGGAACAGTGACACCAGGAACAGTGACACCAAGAACAGTGACACCAGGAACATTGACACCAGGAACAGTGCCACCAGGAACAGTGAGACCAGGAACAGTGCCACCAGGAACAGTGACACCAGGAACAGTGACACCAGGAACAGTGACACCAGGAACAGTGACACCAGGAACAGTGCCACCAGGATCAGTGACACCAGGATCAATGACACCAGGAACAGTGACACCAGGAACAGTGACACCAGGAACATTAACACCAGGAACAGTGCCACCAGGAACAATGCCACCAGGAACAGTGACACCAAAACACCGATGGCACACTTAACTCAATTTCAAAGATTCAGTAATCGCATCTCTTACTCGCGTACCACTTTGTGTACTCATACTCGTAGTTCAAGTACTCGCATTCATGTATACACCGATACTTGTACTCTTCCTCAAATACTCGCACTTCAATTTGTTCTCGTACCTCCTGCCTCAAAAGACTCATACATATGTTAAATCGCGAGTACTAGTAATCATACCCTTGCCTAATTATTCGTATTCATAAATGTGTACTGTACTTGTAAAACTCATTCGTACTCTCGCTCAAGTATAGTACTCATACTTCTACCTGAACTAGGGGATATGTGCTGTAGTGTGACGATTCCTTCCATACAGACTCAAGTACCAACTGGAGTACAACCTTACACCCTCAAAGGTATAGTCATTCGACCCCTTCAACCCTCCTCCTCCCACACCCCTTTCACCTGCGTTAACTTATTTACTGAAGAAGCAATGCTAATCTCACATTATATGCAGAAACTGTAGATAAATTCAATTTCTTTTTTTATGATGGGAAAGTGAAAAGAGACTGTAATAAATAATAGATAAATTTTATGGGTGAAGGCATTATCATACATGGGATAAATGCATTATCATACACGAGTAAAAACATTATCATACACGGGTAAAAACAATTCTAAATTATTTCCGCCAGTGAATCATTTTATAATTTCTGTCAACATTTACAAGTCAGAGAACAGACCAGTAGGCTGCTGTTGACACTTCTATTTCAACTTGTGGACACTATCTCAGACTTCTGTTACAGCTTCCGTTGTTGCTGTGACGAACAACTGGGACTGAGGTTGGAGACTGTAGGGTAAAAAGTATGTAGAAGGAGGAAAATGTTTACCTGTCCTTAATTCAGGTGTTTTTTGTTACTAACCCCAGGGGTGTATGTTATTAACTCGGCTCTCTCTCTCTCTTCCTCTCTCTCTCTCTTACCGTCACCTCACCAAGGGTTTGAGAAGTCCCTTGGCAGATGCACCCAAGACACTCACAAACTCCACCCCCAAAAAGCTATGGCCAAATTTCCTTCATCCAGAGTTTTTTTTCTGAACTTAAAACTGAAGTGAAGTGTTTGTCAGTGGCAGTATCGGCACCAGCGCCTAGCCAATATACATTAAGATGGATTTCATTACATCTTATTATCTAATTTTACAACAGATTGACCTTGATAAAAAAAATCCTAACACGATAAAACTGCATTAAAAAATAAACTTATAATCTTTGTAAATCTCTGAAGTTTTTTTTATTATGAATTTATTATAAAATCCAAACTGTAACTAGGCAACTGACACTCACAAGAAAATACTATATCTCCTCACATACTAGTACACCATCCAAGACTTTCCTAAAGAGACGAAAAAATTTCAATCCCCCCCGAGGTCAAAAACTGTGACATTACTGAATTCTCTCCTCCACGCGAGATAAAATATTGGACCACAGCAACAAGATGAATAATGCGTTCCCTTCACCACGCGCAAAAATATTCCATGCGAAATTACTGGAAGACACACAGTGCACTCGACCTGGAAGGAGAGAGAGAGAGAGAGAGAGAGAGAGAGAGAGAGAGAGATAACCGAAAACCAGCGTGCTTGACATCTACCTGCCACACACACACACACCCACACACACACACACTTAAGCTACGACACAAAGACGGATTCTCACAGGTTCCTACGTTAAAGTTTCCTCTTATCTGCTGATGCGAGAATGTATCTGACTCACTTAAGATAAGACACAAATATCAACAAGCTAGATCAACCTCTTAAAACTTACTTTCCAGAGACAAGAAGAAGAAGAACAATAACAACAACGAAATTTATGAGCAGAAGGGAATAAACAGAATTCAACCGTGACATAATAAAAGCTGAGAGAGAAACAGGTGTAAGAGAGATAGTGAAAGTGATGAGAAGTAAAGTAAGAGGATGTAAGAGAGGTGAAAGAGGTGAGAAGTGTTGAGAAATGTGAGAATAAAGAAAACTGAAATGGTAAGAGAGATTAAGCAAAAAAAAATTAAAGAAAAATGTAAAGAGAAAGAGAGTTGAGGAAAAATTTTTGAAGTGGTAACATGAGACAGGGAGACTAGTAGGACAGAGGGAGTGGGAGGGAGAACAAGGCAGGTAGACAGGGAGACTAGCAGGGCAGAGGGAGTGGGAGGGAGAACAAGGCAGGTAGACAGGGAGACTAGCAGGACAGAGGGAGTGGGAGGGAGAACAAGGCAGGTAGACAAGGAGAGTAACAAGAAGAAATTTGTGACGCGTGTGTGTGTGTGTGTGTGTGTACGTATGAATCTCCAGACAAATAAACAATATCAGAAACAACAATCAAAACACCACCAGCATCACAATCAACAAGGAATGAGACTCATGAAACAAGCAAAACGCAGCTCGTAAACAATAAACATTACCACGTGTTTTCACCTCAGCGTCATCCAGGTGAAAACATAATTAAGGAGGGTCATTTGCAGTCATCACACTATCAGCTTCGTCTCCGAGATGTCAACACACTCACAAGAGCCGCCTCCAAGAACAAGCAGTGTGAGGGAGGTCCTTGGTGCACCCAGGCGCCAGTTAATGTGTCTGGGAGGGTCTTGGTGCCCTTGAGTATGTGCTGTGCTGTGTGTGGCCAGGTGGTGGTGTATTGTGGCCAGGTAGTGGTGTATTGTGGCCAGCTGGATGTGAATTGTGGCCAGGTAGTGGTGTATTGTGGCCAGG